GTAACCACCGCAGACACCCCCCCGCAAGCTGGTTCGGCCTCTCCAAGGCCCCTACTCGTCACGGGCTGGGGGCTGATTTCACCCTGCACCGCATCAACTTACCAGAGGTTCCATTGTACCGAGATCTTTTATTTTGTTGCCGCTTAGATTTAGATGCGTGAGGTTCGGACACTTTTCTGCCAACACTTCCAGTCCTCCTGAGATTCTGTTGTCGCTGAGCTCCAGCTAAAAGGCACATAAACATCTTGAGTTTTTAGTGCAAACACGTATCACAGAGCAGCCTGATCAGCCAAATTACGTTTTTATACAGAGGACGGTTTTACACACGCGGTACAGTGCGACGAGGGGGAGGCACGGCACAGGGGGGTTTATTTACCTTCTTAAGTTTGTTTAACTTTGGTAAGTTTGCAACTGAGGTTAAGCCTACGTTGATTGTACTTAAGAATTCCAGCTCTTCAAACTCATCTGTAAGGCCTTCGATTTTGCCTTCATATGACCTACAGTTGTCAAGAACGAGTTCTTTAACCTGGGAAAAGAAGAACGCGAAAGGTGGGTGAGATGCAAGCGACAGCCTTACCCTGCGCACAGAACAAGCGAAGGAAGACGCGTGCCAGGCACTCCAGTAAATGGGTAAGTATGTCACAGGTTACCTTCAGCGCCCGATCCCAACTTCTGCTGGGGTGCCAGGTTACCAGTGTTTCAAAACCACAGGTATTAGGGCTTTGCTTTGCCTGCCTGCCTTGGCGGTGTTGTATACACGGTGTAAACGATTCAAACCGGTGACTCCGGGCCTACCCCATCTGGTCGTCAGAAGCAACACCGGTACAAGGCAAGCGACAAGCGTGCTAAAACCCACAAAACCGATGTACTTATTTTGAAACTAACCTACAGCCTTGACACCCTACCTAACTAGTCTGCTATTACAACGTAATGCCAGCCGTTCAAAGTTTCTCTCCGCAAGCAAAAAATTATTCGAGCTTTTCAAGCGTGGAGAGATCACGTCTGCTTACTCCTGAAACCCAACGGGCGGGCACTGGTGGTCCTAAACCTGGCCTTGCTGGAGTCTACCCTTTCCCCAGCTCATTCCAGTAGCTTGATGGTACTTAGGGGAAGGTCTCCACTGAGGAAACTGCTTTCCGGGAGAATCGGAGGGAGGTGCCAGAGGATGCTGGCAGGGGAGCTTTGGGGAGCAGAGCTGCAGCAGCACTGTACCCTTATCTCCCCGTCCCGCTGCAGCGGGGAGGCTCGAAGGCAGAGGTGAAGATAATGTCCCCAGGACCTGCCCCACGGGTGTGTACACCCAGTTACGGACTGCAGCGTTTTGGTGTTCGGGGTTTTTTAATAGAGTCCCGCTCTTCTTGCAGGTGCTATCTTCAACGGCCAAAGCCCAACAGCATCGATGCAAAAGAGCCCCTAAATGTGCCCCGCCCTGAATAAAATTGCTCCTTTTTGGTCTAAAGATGGGTCAGCCTTATGGGATTCAAGGCCCTGAGTAGCCAACGTGAGTTTTCCCAGGCTTTGGGGAAAGCTGTGCCACCAAGGACTGTGGCTCCACAGGAAGGGCCCACCCATTTCGGAAACATCCAGGCATTTTCCCACTGACTGAGAATTCCTGGGGGTTATTTCTTCCCTCTAAAATAGCCAGGGAAACCCATCCTGCGCACATGGCAGACCCTGTGTCTGAGGGTTGCTCGTGGGTTTGGAGAGGGAGGGAGTGCTGCTTTACACAAGGGTGGGATAAAACAAGCGTGCAAGAGCGGCGTACGCAGAAACACGAGGCGACTCTTCGGTTCACACCCAGGCCAGTTAAGATGCAAATATTTAATTTTCTTCCTTTTTTTTTTTTTTTAATGACTGTAATCCCGCTGCACAGAGAAGAATCCTGTGTAGTTTTATAGCTCCAAATAACATCCCTAGATTTCTAATTAAATCCCAGGCACTGGAGTCAATAGGGAAGTCAGCCCAAAGCAACACGAGAGTACAAGTGATTCATTGAGAGTAGGAGGATCAGCGTTAGACAGGAAATACATTTTCCAAGACTCCACAATTTTCCTAGAAGAATTATGATAGGGAATGACTACACAAAGTCTTCTGGAAGAATTTTAGGCTGGTTTGAAGAAACCAAAGATCAAGTCAAATGTTCCTGATCCCACATACATCAATTCCACTGCAGGGGAGACGCAGGGCACGTACAGACAGACAAGCATGACACACACATGACCCAAACCCCAAAAACAAACTACAAAAAAACCTCTTGGCTTTGAAATTTGGACAGCAGGAAAAGACATTTTAAAGGCCAACATGTGTTATTTTCTTTTTGTAACAATATTTAAATATTAGGATCCTCCAGTGAGATCAATTTGGGGATAAATACAGAGTTTTGGGGACAAACACAGAGTTTTCTTGGTCATTGCTTCCTGCACGCACAGAGAGCTCCCGCCAAATAAAAGGAGGGGAAAAAAAAAAAAAAAGGAAGAGCAGCTCCACCTCAAACGCAGACCGTAGTTCGCATTTCCCCCTATCTCTGCCCTTGCTCAGCAGCACACGGGGCCCCTGCCTGCCCCGTTATCTCCCTTGGCCAGCAAGGTGCCTCATCCGAGACAGCACCCACATCCATCCCGTCATCCTCCCCAAGGGCAGCACGGAGAAGAGGCAAAGGGGAACTGGACAAATTGGGTAGAGATTTGAGGGACAGCTGGAAATAGCCAGGATGCAGAAGAAAAACCCTTTAATATGGTGGCAGAGGAGCCAACTGGCATCTACTTCTAGTTTGCTCTTTTTACACGGAGACTGCTGTTCCCTCTCTGCCTTTCAGAAAACTGTGATACAGAACGGCAATGATCCCAGTGCCCCAATTCTGGGCAGTCAAAGCAACCCCACGGGGAAGCTCTCATGGAATAAAACCAGCCAGGATTGCCGAGCGGCGGCAAGCTTGGGCGAACGGAAGAGCTCGGGCTCCCAACACTCCAGAGGCGCAGCTGCAGCAACGTGATTTCGGTGCGTATGTGGTCAGAGGTGCATTAATTAACACACCGAATCGCGTCTGAAAGAACGCGACCCCACAAAACTGAAGTCAAGATTAAGCTGGCTTTATGTTCCAAGAGATTTAAGAACCCTGTAGAAAACACACGCGCACAAAAGGAGGATGAACCGGGCTTCTCACAATTTCGCTGCCACGTGCACACTCACTACTGCACCGTAACCTCTCACATACAGTAGTAGTAACTACCACCAGCGTGTAGCATTTATACAAGGATTAAATTACCAGCAGCTATTTGCCCGTAGCCTCTCGGCCTGCAGTCTTGCACATCCCACTCTCCTCCCCTTCCACTCCCACTTGCCATCTCCTGAAGAGCCTGCTGTTTCGCAGTGAACCGGAGAGGCAGTGGGTCCCCCCTCCCCGGGAGAGGGCATTGCTCTCCAAGGCCCCTCCGGGTTAGAAACGGGGCACTTTTCCAACACGCTGGCTGCTGCACAGAGGTCTCTTCTCAAACCTTAGCCCCTTTGTGAGGATGTTGGGCCTCACCCAGGCACGCTACAGCCTTGAGAGTTTGTGAGCACATAACTGTGTCAGTATGCAGAGAGGGAGAAGTAGAAAGGTGACCTTAGTAGAGCTACATTCCATCTCAAACAGCTCACTACCACAAAAGTATGACAGAAGGACTAAAAAACCTATTCCTCGTTTGTTTTTCTGAAGTCTTTGTAATCTTAAGAAAAATTCCAGCTCCTGAATCACTCTCCAAACGTCTACCGAACTTCCCTGAAAACACACAGCTACGCTACAATTTTTTACATCTCTTTTCTCATATTCCGTCACCAAAACACAGAATAAACAAATTGCCTGATGGAAGTAGCCGGGGCAAGTAGCCTTTCTGAGTTGCGAGGAGCGGCCTCAGCTGCTCTGAGCCAACGTACCTGCACCACGCTGCGGTCTCCGTCACACTGCAGACACGTAGAGCACTCGGAATAAGGGAGGACAATCCGAGCACGTTTGGAGAGAGAGGCTAAGGGAGTAAGCGTCCTCAGCTAATTTGCGTGTAGTTGCATCAAAGGCAAGAAGATACAACTTGCAGGAGTTGTATATCGTTAACCTTATCGCTGTCTGCGCCACAATGCATAAGCAAATCAAAGCGCTAATTGGAGTAAGCAGTAATAGAAGAGAAGCCACGACCTGTACTTATCTTCCCCAAAAAGCTGCTCCGTAGCGAGAAACAGTGGAAGAGCGACATGCCATAGGTGACCAACCACCACAAACACCACCGCAACACTTAACCCGAACAGCAAGGACAGCAGCCGCGGGGGAACGCCTACAGCACAGCCCACACGCAGGTGCCAGGTTGGCTCCCGCAGAACACAACCAAGCCTTTGATAGCACGCGCGATAAGGCACCCCCAGGTGCTCGGGCAGGGATCCTGCGCACCGTACACCTTCAACTGCCGAGCATTCCCGGCCCAGCCCGCCGCTCTGCCTTCTCCTCTGCATTCCCGGGGCGGCTCCGGGCTCGGCTGCCCCTCTCTCCCCTGTTCGGCGGGTGCCATCTGCTCGAGCAGGTGCTTCCTGGCTGCCTGCGTACGTCTGCCCGAGCGTTGCTCTGCGGTTTGCTGGTACCAGTCCTTTGTTTTCAGCAGTCAGGCGTGAGCAAGCGATTCTCCAACGCGATCTTCAGGCCACGCGCCTTGGACCCGCTCTCCCGTGGTCACACCGGTTTCTATTTCTGATGGTCCCGGACACTTTCGGTGCATGACATCACACCTCTGTTAATGCCGGCTGCGCCGTTAACTGCGGCTTACAGCATCGCTGGATCTCTTTGTGACTTTCATGACATCACCCTCTGCATTACTGCCTGCTTGATAACCAGGGACTCTTAGCCATTTCCTAGTACAGTTACTGCATTAAGCCGCGTTCCCAAAAGCATATAGGACATCCTTAATATGGCCATGGGGCCTACCGCAAGACTCCAACCTATTCCTAGGGTAAGCACAGGCAACCCTACGTAAGCAGCCACTGGATTTCACAGGAGTCCTCGCGAGTGACGTCTGGGACTCCCTCGGTACCTGGCAGACCCTCCCCTGCCTCCCTTCCCCAGCGCAGGCTGCTCCCTGCAAGGAACCACGAGTTCAAGTTATCAGCACTAGACAATCAGTATCACTACACACAGACAATTCTTAGCCGCACAGGTTGTCACCTTAACCTTCCATCTACATTTCTACTGTCACGGGAAGAAAGGCAAAGTCTCTGCTTCAGAAAGCCTACAACCCATGGGCAGGGAGATCCGTGAAGCTGGGACTAAGCTCCCGAATCCTGGGCGGTAACTGAAGGCTTAACAAGGTGACAGAAGGACACAGTTGCGAGTACAATTTTAAAAGATAAAAGGCAAATTTACAAGTACAAATAGCCTTCTGCTGGCTTTACAAGCAGGAGGAGCAAAGGCTGTAACATCTCACATCTCATTTTCAGCACAATGGACCAGATGCTTTTGAAGTGTACACCACATACGGTATCCCTAGGACAGGAATATCCCACTGT